TTTCGTTAAATTGGAACGCGTTTGATTCGATTCGATTAGAAACCGAGTCGCTTTTGCGGGTTAGATTCGCTGGTAGGGGACGGAACGACCCGTTGTAATTATTAATCGAGTCAGGCATCAATTAGTCGGAATATCGATTAATTGCGCATCAGAGGCGCGTGTCTTGGCCCGTGCACAGCCACGATTTCGATTATCCGCGGCTTTCGATGACTGTGCGTTTCATCATTCGATTAATCAACCGTCACGATCTGGATTGCGACGTCGCTTAACGTCAAATTTCATCCAGTTATGCATTTTATCAAATCACGCCTGATTAATAATCGTTTCGAGGACGGTGAACGTATTACGCTTTGTGTGCACCGGGAGTGATTCGTACACTCGTACGATGATTTCGCAATGTTCACCGTATAAATATCGTAATAAACGCAACTTCGATTCGCGATTGTTCGAGGCGAATATAAAAATTTCACCGTTCGTAATTAAATTTGCATTTGTTTCGACCAATATGTATGACCAACGAGTACAAAATAAGTGTTTCGCGCGATAAACACTTTTATTTAAATTAATGCACTCCCTTCGTGATTCCAATTTATGAAATATAATTTATTAACCTTCCCCCTCTATCCTCTCGTATAATCATCTCTGCGCAAAAACTGACGCGATGATCAAGTTGCAACTACGTTATATACAAATTTTCCGCACGAAATATCGTAATGTATTTTCATATGCAACGGAACAAGCTTGTAAATTATCTAAAACGATCGTATCAAGTGGTTGATCCCATCTATTACACACGTGAATACAACGAACGTATACAAATTATGCGGTATATCTCTACAGAATAAATTAACAAATTGAATTAATTACAAATTTACATATCACACGCGATCCACTTTATCTCGAGCCACGAAGAAGAGGAAAGTTAAACTCAATCTCTCGCATTGTTCATTCGCGCGTATGAAATCACGAAACGAGCAACATCTTCAAATCAATTTCTCTTTTTCCATGTCAAATCGTCTAATCGTACTCGAACAATTTCCGCGCGTAATGCACGCGTCTTAATCCCTATTTCCTCGTCGTTCTAATGACTCAAACTAGAATCGTTTCCCTATTTCGCTACGTATA